CACCCCACCCCCTCTCGCTTGTTCACTCATTTGCTTAACAAGTTCATTTGTGCGTAGGCCTTCATCGGGTATCAAGTGATGCGCGAGACTGGCCTGCGGAACTGTTGGCTCTCGCAAGCTGTTCACCTGCATCCCTCTCACCCCCACACACCCACCCTCCCACTCACAAACATGTAGAGACACTGACACACAACCAATCGCAACAGCGTAGACTATTCACTGGCATACATTAGGGCCAATAGTGTGAGTAAATGGTGCGTGAATACTTGGTTCAAGCTGCAACATTTCCACGACATCAGCTGTGGAGCTTAGATTGAAACTGTTTTGTTTATTGTTCTGTTGGTTGTAGAGCTGACATGATTTGAAACTAGACAGTAACCTTAATATATTTGGGTTTCTGATTTTTTGTCAGAAGATTCCGCATTTCTTGTGTCGCTATGGATGATAGCTTGAGTATTTAGAAATTGTAAGTTAGTGCATGATGCTTTCTTGTCATTTTAGTGGCAATCTCTTCTCACCAATTGGTTGTCTACGATGTTTTAACTCCATCTTCTTGAATTAGCTAAACCTGCTTGGAAACTCAGACTAGGTGGTACAACATTTTTTAAACAAGTACTATCCACAACTTTTGCTTACAGGTTATGTAGAAACATGCTCTACCACGCAGGGAAATGTGCCAATAAATTGCAATTCAAAGACTTAAAAACAGACTTCTCTATTTAATGTCTTTCCCCATTCCATGGGCAGCATAAGACGCTGGCACAACACATTCAGTCAGTTGTCTGCCAAAAAAACATTTATAAATTAAACCAGAACGGAAGTTTTTATGATCAACTTTTTATTATTAAACAATATCTTATCATATTTAATATGTTGACAGGATCTCCATAGTAACACAATGTTAACAGCCAAAACCCCAAGTTATCTGCAAATCCAAGCAACTGTTAGTGAGCGTAAAGGGTACTTGCAAGGCAATGCTAATGAAGGCATATATTAATTTGAGGTCATTCATTAACAAATCCTGCAATTCCTTTTTACATTTACTTTATATCGGTTCCCTCTTTTTTCTTCTTCCCAAATACATACAACTTTCTACATTGTCCGTCCTTGTTATTCCTCTTTGTTTTAGACCTCTTCACTTGAGGCTGTATTAACAAGCATCATCTTTGAAGAGTTGCCCTCAATCTTTGCACTGCAAGTGTGCAAGGCAAGCACACATGCAGCCTCAACAAGCATTATCCCCCCCCCTCCACGCCTCCATCCCTTTCATCCCCTCCTTCCTTTCCTCCTTCCTTCCTTCCTTCTTACTTCCTTTCTCTTCTTCGTCTGTCAACTTCTCGTATATCTTCCCCTGTTGACGCATGTCTTCACCCTTCATCTTCCTCTCTGTATTCATCTATCATCTGTCTATTTACGGACACCTATTTTAAGCCGTGCCTTGCCTACTTTCCACTCTCCCCTAATTCTTGTCACCCCCTCCCCTCCGCCGAGTGCCTACTTCCTCTTTGGTCAAAAGAAACCCTCACCTTCTTTCTGTCTCAAACATGCACACTCACACACACACATCATGTGATAATAAAAGCTCTTTCCGTGAGGTGAGAAGTGTGTTTTTAAAAGGTTAAGATGGTTCAAAAGAGGAACTGAGATGAGAGGCTTCTTAACACAGAAAGGCTTTGTTTATAAATGAGTGTGTACCCATCCCCTTGTGTGTTAGAGTGCACGAAAGTGTGTCTGCTTTTTGATCGCCAGGGTATTAGTGGGATGAAGGTTTCAGTATGTGTATACACATACAGTTTATAGTAAATCTCTGCCATGTTACTGCCATGTCTCGGAATCAACGCAAATGAACAGAAAAGCGATCTGCGGACCACCCGCGCTCCCTGATGGCTGTGGGTTTGTTTGTTATATGAGGCCCACTGTTAGACCCAGTAAGACGCTCACTTCAGAAGATGAGAGCAGAGCACGTCCTGTGAATGTGTCCGTATAATTACTCAACATCAGTTTGTGTGCGTGTGTTTGTGTGGGTGTGAGGCACGTGCACAGCTGTGTAAATCAGTCAAAGTGCAAAGCAACAGGAAAACAAGCTAATTTAAAACAGACACATTCTTTCCATCTACCAAAAGAAATCAAACTGCTGTTTATGAGTCATAGTTTAATGTAATGCAGTGCATGCTTCAAGGAAATCGATTTAAAGAGGTGATAATGATTTGATACAGAAAGCAGGTTTCGGATTTGATACCTTACTTTTATTGTGGTTATAGCTTTCTTTCTTTCTTTCAGCTGTGAATACATTGTATTATTTAAAGTAATTGCTGAGTTGGGGAAACTTGGCTTTTTCGCCAAAGCGAAGTCAAATGAATCAGATCATCAGATAGGATGCGAAGAACGACCACTGATGAATGACTATTGACAGTTCAACTAGAAATATATATTGTTTTGGGTTCACTATCTCTACCAATTGCTTGTCTTACCTGATTTAGCTAAACATCATTTTTCATAATATGATAGGAGTATTAGTGCATGTGGTATACCTTTATAAGAGAACACGTAGTAAATCTGTCAGTGTTTCCCTTTTCAGTCAAAATGAAACAATTTCAGGCTAAATTCAACAGTCTTTTCTTAGTTTTAAAGACACCATCTCATCTTTTCATAATGTAGCATTAAGCTAATGAGCTACCTGCTTCTCCATCCATCCCTTAATCCTTCAGTCTTCACCGCTGTTTCCAGGGAAACCATTTGGAAGCTGCGAGTGGACTTCCTACAGGAGAGAGTTCTAAGCCAATGGGAGAGCTTCACCATATGGAACGCTGGGAAACAGGGCCGGAAGCTGTACCGAAGCCTGAGCCCGACCAATCAAAAGAAGGTATGCAACCTCTGGCTATGCAGATTGATGTGAAACATTATAATAGTTACTTTTAGTTAGCTCTATTAGTCTTCCTACTGTATGTAGTGGAACAAGTCTGACGTGATGTGAGAGTGCGTCAGCTTTCAAGCTAAACATATTCTGCTTTACTCATAAGGTGAAGGCTTTCTGTGATGTCGATGAGAACAAGATCCAGAAAGGTTTTTACACATATGAGGACTCTGAGGTGAGATCAGCTACTGTTGATTCTAAGTACAAGGTCTGTTTTTTTTTAAGCGCGACAAATTATAAGCTTTGATTCAAATGAATGATCATCCAACAACTTTATTGCAGTGGTTTAGATTATTATGAAGATGTCAAAAACACAAATCTTTGGTTTTCTGTGTCTTTCTTTTTTCCAGCAAAGACCCAAGCCAAAAGTCCCAGTTCTACACTACAAAGACGCCTCGGCCCCCTTCATTATCTGTGTAAAACTGGTGAGCAGAAAGCGTGTTTGTGTGTTGTATGTTTGCTGTTTCTGACCGCCTGTCCCTCATGTCTGTAATCTGAGTTAACGACATAATGATCAAGGGCGTGTGCCCGGCACAGGACACACACACACACACACACACACACACACACACACACACACACACACACACACACACACACACACACACACACACACACACACACACACACACACACACACTGGGGGCAGTCAGGAAATGGGTAGAGACAGCAGCCTGGTCTTTGATCACATGGCACTTATACAAACAACTGATGACTTTGCCACCGTTCATATTTGTACATTTTGTGCTCCCAAATCCTGCCAATATCTGTAGCTAGCTTTACCATAGACACGCACGCACGCACGCACGCACGCACGCAGGCACGCAACGATCCACTGGATTATTGCGTTAATCCTAAACCGACGGTCTTGTCCGTCTTACACAAACACACACACACACATAACACACGCACGCACGCA